AATTCCATTTTTGGACATCCCAGGACATCTGTGGGTCATCCAAGGCAAGTGGCAAATTATTCCACTGAGTCACTTCTGCAGATGAGTTTGGGACTTAGTGAAGAGGAGCCTGACAGTGAGTGTGGACCTGGACCTGACCCTGAGTTCCTGGAGAAGCATCAGCAGCCTCCTTGTTCTAAAGAAGTTGTAATTGTTCACCTTCCACTCTTTGTGGTCATTTATATCTCTTACAGTGGCCTACTTCCAAGTGAAGGTCCCACCATTAACCCTTCTTCCACCCCTTTAACTGCACTTCTCCATCTGCAAGGAGGATCAACAGAGGAATATCTGTTCTGCAAGTGACTTTTATTTATTTACTGGGGACTGGGTGGGCAGACCCCTTTTTCCATTGTATGTAAATATGTGCAGAGAGCACCTGAGCAGTACAAACCCACAGCTCTTTGGCAATTCTGCCTGAGACAAAACAATCCTGTGCAGGAATATGAGACACTGTCCTGTCACTCAGAGCACACAGAGTCCCCTTCTCCTCAAACTGTTTGCCTTTCTGGCAGCAGTGTGGGGAGTTTTACATCATAATCCCTCAGAAAACCAAAAATCCCAAGCAACGGAGATGATGAAATCTTTCTTCTACTTGCACAGTTTAGGACCAAAGAATATTACAGTTCCTGCCTTGAGTGAAGCCCTGCACTGCCTCTGGTAGTGTCTTAATTTATTCAGGAAGAGAGAAGAGACCAGGTCAATGCCTACAGCTGGTCAAAGTGTTACAGCAAAGATTTCAGCAACATCTCCTTTCTGATCAAACAAAATGTTCCTCAGCTCTGCACTACTTGCTGCAAAACCTAGTGGTTTAAAATACCCTTCTCAAACTATAAAACCAGTGCAAGAACATTTAGATGTTTAGTTTTCAAGTTTTCAAAAGGAAATATCTGCATTTTTCAAACATAATTTTAAACTTTGTGGGTTTTTTTATTTAAAGCTTAAAAGAAGTTAAATTAACAATACCAACTAAATGAACAAAAATTAAAGTAAATTTCTCATTTGGCTAAGGAAGGCAGGCTGACAGCTTTTCAGTTCACACACTTTCTAAAGACAGATTGTTTTGAATACATTCAAAGTTCTTCACAAATATTTTGCTGCATGTTTTCAGAATTGTCAGAGCACGAAAAGAGCCCATTATTCACAGAGCTGTGCCAGTAAGTTCCATGACTGTGAGGACTCATGTGGCCTCCAACAGCTGTATTCCATCTAATTCTCCTACTTCAGCTTTGGTTTCCTATTGGTTTGGCAACCCTGAAGGTCCAGAATATCCTGTGGATAACATTAGGCACGAGAACACAGGTAGAATTTAGTCTGCCTGAAAAACAGCCCTGAATTCATGGACACCTTCCATCTCCTGCTGGTCTTCCAGGAATGATGCCACTCTAACCCACCTCCCTCTCCTCTCTGCCCAGGACTGTGTTCCAGGGGCACAACTGGGCTCTGCAAATGGCACTGAAATCCAAACAGGTACCACAGAGGTGCCAAGGAACGAGGCAGGACTGGCACCAGGTGAAGGGAGGGAGAAGTGTGCCAAGGAAAAAGAAACCTAAAAATCAACTAAATTCTCAGAAAGCAAGTGATGGGATGGGATGGGAGATGCTCTGGTGACAACAGGACAAATGACTCAAAGGGAGGTCACATGAAATATAAGTGTGTTGCCCAATGTTCTCTGCCATGTCCTCACAGAGGTGTCACCAGGAGGAAACTCTGCTAGTGTGTGGTCACCTCTTCCCTGGAATTCATCACAGACTGAAAGAGGAACTAAACCCAGCTCTGCAAAACGTGTGCTTTCTTAGAAACCTTCCATAATGTTGCATTTTCAAATTCAGGCTCAGCTGTGGAGCTTTCTTTTGTGTCTTACATTCAATCCCTATTATCATCATCATTTGGTCCCAAATCCAGAGCTCCTCTGGAATAAATCTCTGACTGTTGGAACAATGAATGCCAAATCACACTCTGTCCAAGAAGCTTAAAATCTAAATGTAGGACAAGAGAGAGACAGAGACAAACAAACAAGAAATGAAAGAGGCCTATGGGACAACTGTGATAAGCAGGAGGCCCAGAACATCGTGTTCCCTGGCACTGCCAGCTCCTTCTGCAGGCATTGTGGCAGAGGAAAACTTTATTCTCCTAGTCCAAAAATAACCTATATTTTGAATGTTTTGTTATAAATCTGGTTTGATCAGACACACAATCTCTGGAATGAGAATAAACATAGGCTATCTTAACAGACAAATGGCTCATTGGATGTTTATCTTCAAGCTGTTTTTCCCAAACAGTTCTATAATCTACACACACATGTGTTTAATTGTGTGCTTTAAATGAAATGGCATTCACGCTGTGCCTTAGCCCCACCATCAAAACACACTTTGTGGATAATTGGGACATTTTTATAAAAAACGATTTTACAACTAGTAGTGGACATGATCTTGTAACTGTTTCTGGCTTATGAGGTGACAGGAATCAGGTCTGTGCTGCACCTATGGCCTGAGGAAGCAAAGATCTTTCTTTTATGAAAATAGGTTGAATTCAAGAAGATGACAAAGAACCACAAATGACACCATCCAAACTCATTTCTAAGATAACCCAGACCAAACTAAACTTGGTGGAAACACTACAACTAATATCAGTACAGGCAAGTCCTAATTATAGCAGAGACAGTTTTAGAAGGTAGATGTGCTGGCATATTTTATTTACATGGCAGAACTCTGAGATATTCCTATCAAGGTGCAGTTAAAGTGAAGGCTCTGCCTCTGTTTGAATCAGCCCCAGAACTCAGTGGGACTTGTTCTGCCCGTGCACAGCAAGGACTGACAGTGCAGCCCCAGAGGAAGAGGTGAGTTTAATCTATTCCCAGCCTTTCCCATCCAAGAGGGGAATTACAGGGAGGAAATGAGAGAAGCCTCAGCTCAGCCTGCTGGCAAGAGCATCTCAGGCTGTGTGGGGCAGAGACGGGAAGGCAAAAAGGCCTCCTGAGGTTAAATGGCCACCAGCAAATTATTGGCCTCCCTCAAACTGGAGGAAACAGGGAGGGGTGTGATCCCAAGGGATACGAATTCCTGCTCAGAGTAGCAAAGGCTGATGCCATGTGGATGTTCCCCACTGCCCTGGGCAGGACCTCTGGGCACAACCCACAACGCCCTCGGGGACATGGGGGGATTCTTGGGGTGTCCTGTGCAGGGCCAGGAGCTGGATTGGATGATCCTTGTGGGTCCCTTCCAGCTCAGGGTATTTTATGATTCTGTGATACCCTAGTGCAGAGAAGTGCAAAGGCATCTGAACTTTTTAAACTGAAGTCTGCAGACAGATCTAGATCTGAAAACCTCCACCTGACACTGCAGTGAGCAGGGGACTATTTTCAAACAGGTCAGGACAGGGGTTCCCCCCCATAATGGAGCCTCTCTAGCACCACCTCCAATAGGACAGATCCTTGTTTCATTCTTCACAGCCTGCAGCTCAGAACACTAAACCATTTTTTCTTTGGGTAACTTGTTCAAATCACCTCTGAGCAATGGTGAATTAAAGCATTTACCATCAAACAAAAAGTCTGGTGGCTGAAATAAGCTGCCAGTTGCATCGAATCAGACTTCAATTAGGCAGACTTTAATAATCTGTGGGACTGCCTGTGCTGAGAGATCCACCAGCACAGCGACCCAAGAGCAGTGCTGTACCACCAGCATTGCCCAAAGCAGGCTGGAAAAGGGACTGTCTGACCACTGCTTCCCTGGGGACCTCCAGGGAAATGAGATGTGTCTCATGAGCTTCTCAATCAGAAGAAATTGGAAGAAAAACAAATAAAACTGTTGGTGGTCTCAACTGTGTTTCTTGTGGGCAATCACCCATGTTGCAAAAGCTTTCCTTGTGATGGGCACTAATAGCTCTGCCCTGTGAGAGCTCTTGGTCAAGGAGTCAGAAGTGCAATTGCAACAAAGAGTAAAGGTCAGGATGACAAAAGCATTTAGACCTTGCCCCACATAAGGAGACTGAACATCCACCAGAATTTAAGGGGATGTTGGTCCTTGTAGGAATCGCAACCTGGACTCCCCTGACTCACAAATTTGGGTCAAAATGTTGCTGTTTCAGGTTTTTCTACAGTGGAGTAAGAAAGGCACCTCCAAAATCAGATCAGAGCTTCTACAAGCCTCTAGTTTAGGCAGGTCTTCCTCATGCTTCTGATGGGGAAGCCCTTCTTCATTGACCTAGATGGACCTTTCACTTGAATTTGAGGCTTTGAGCTTCTCTGAACTGAGCTTGCTCTTTTTCCTCCTCTGCATGGTCTGTGCAGCATGAATGAACCTCAGAGCTGTTGCCAGGCTGGGGAGGAACATCCTGAATTTTGAATTTGAGATCCTGATTTCTGAATGAGGCATTAGTGAGTTGTCACAGTTATGGGAAGGTCCCAGGCTGACAGAGGTACACACCCTCTCTGCTCTGAAATTTATGGAGAAGTATCGAAAGCAAAGTGAAAAAGCAGTTCTGAAACTGCCCAATTTGAAAGAAATGAGCTGAAACAGGCAGGCAGTGATTCTCAGGCACAAATGTTAGTTCTCTAATCAGAAAGCAGGTCACTGAGTGCTTCCCACGAACAATGTATTTGTGGTTATGAAAACCTTAAGGCTCAGTTTCCAGTACAAACTGAGTATTTTCATTGCTAGTAAGTTCGGTAAAAACGTGTCTTTTTCAGTGAAAAATACATTTTTAATTGCATTTTTGATCTTATTTTCATTAATTAACATAAAGCTTTGTTTACTGAATTGAGTTTGTTTTTTTTTTTAAATTTGTAGAAAATACGTTTATACTCTGAGGCCCACGTGTAGCTAAGAACAGATCCCAGATACTCCTCTCACTACACAGATACTCTCAAAACCTTAATTTTAAGGACTTCCTAGTAATCAGAATCTTGATCTTGAGGGTTCATGGGGAACTGGCAGAAGGTTCAGACACTGTGAAATGGTGCATACCTGGTAGCAAGGCAGTGGTATTTGGTGTGAGAAGGATCAGCCTTTCCAGTCAGTCATCGCTGCAGCTTTTCCCATCACAGGCATAATCCAAAGTTTTGTTCTTCTGTGTGTTTCCTGCAGGAATCTTGTAAGGGGCAGATCTTCAGGGTTGCAAATTCCCAAGTGGGCTATGTCACACAGAATGGCAGAGGACATACCAAAGTGGCTACAAAGAAACAGGAAACAGAATCAAAAACATGAACAGTCAGATTAGACATGACAAAACTGGTAATATGGAATTTTTACTGAAATCAATTTAATATTTCTAAGAAGGTATATAATTTTGGTGGGAATTATTTTCTTATGTGATATTTCAACACTCAGAAATGCCAAATGTTTAAAAAGTCACATTTCAAAACAAATGGTGGTGTTACAGTGGAAAATGTTGACACTTTTTCACTTGAACATCACTGATTCTTGGGGAATATTTCATTCTACAACAGCTTTTGAAGGTGTATCCAACTCTACATGTTGCTCTCAAAAGGAGAATAGAAGGGGAAGGGGGACATTCTTAGCAAAACAAATGGGGTTTAGGGTACCAGGAGAAAATTGATGCTGAGTAGGAAGGTGAGTTTGTGCAGTAATGATCTGATCTGAAATGCAATGTCCAACCCCATCTCCTTAACTTGAGCTTGGAGTGAGTGTCAGATCCCAATGTAAACCTTCCCAGCTGTGTTATTCTATTAACTGCAAGGCAAAGGGATTAGCATGTGTACTTGTCACATCTTTAGACCTGCTGCACACTGAAGGGAACGTTCAGGCAAACAGCATCCTCTCCCTCTGCCAGGACAAGCAGGGCATGGGGGTGGTGTCCTGTGGAAAGAAAAGAAAGCCAGAGCATGTAAAACAAAGTATGTCCCCTGTGCAAAAATAAACCTTGGAAGTCGATTTCCAAAGGGTATACCTTAAACAGGGGGAGAGAGAGGGAGAGAGAAAACATTTGAGAGGAAAGTTCCCCTCCCTGCCAAGCAGCAGATGGAGGCCCTGCCCACGGAACGAGCTGCAGAGACAGATCTGACAGGGACCTCTGCCAAGAGAAGGGGGTCCCACTCCCCGTGCTGGGAAGAGCTCAGTGGACGAGAACATAACGCTCTGAGTAAAACTCCTGCTCCAGAGGAGGGGGATGGAGGGTGGCACAACCCCCTTTGTCACAGCAGTGTGGCCCCAAACCCCAACCAGTGCTCGTTTTGGAAGGATGAGACAGTTTGGGCTTCACTCCTTCCTTTCACACAGATTCTGTTTCCCCCTCACTCTAAGTTTATAGAGCACATGTGCACACACACAGACATGCCTAATGGCAACAATAATCTGGTTTGCCTCTCCCTTCCCCTGCATTTCATTTCCACAAGGCCTTTGCTGTGACTGGGACAAGATGAAGTGTTGGATGCTGACACTGATAGAGAATCCATTTGGGGATAGAGGGTTTAATGAAGCTAGGCACCAAAAATCTCTTTCTCAAATGTTTCAGTTAACTTGGCACTAAATTATTCATAGAAGAAGAAACTGAGGGCTTTCTACTCCTGTTTCCTAGATGTCTCTGATTCCTTTGTAAAAGTCCATAGGAATGTATGCACTTACTTTGGGAAAGAAAAAAACAAATTCAGCGTCTCCAGGACAAACCAGTCAGTTCAGCAATGAGAAAAAAGACAATTAACTGTATTGCTATCACAGAGAGCCAGAGGAATGGGACAGAATGGACTGGGCACAGTGTGTTCAGGAAATAGGCTCTTCCAAGGAGGCCCAGCAGGTACACCCTGGTGTTCCCAGCACTGGAATGACAGCCATTATATTACTGTAATGACCAAGGCTTGAGCATCTGATGTCAACAGAGTAGACAATTAATACAAAATATTAACCACAACTAAAGCCCAGTTTCACTTTTGGATTGTTTTCCCTCCTCAGAGTGTAAGAACATCAACAAATTAGATTGAATCCAGCAGTGGACTATCCAGAGAGCAAAACATGTGAGAAAAGATAAGGGAGGTGAATTTGTTCAGCCTGAAGAAAAGACAGATTAAAGAAGGGAATCTAACTGGTGCCTTCTACTCCTGATAGATGGCTACACAGAGGATCGAGTCCAACTTCTCTCAGATACACACAGTGAAAAGATGAAAGGCAACACACAATTTGCAACAAGACAAATCCTTACTTCATTAAAAAATAAATGGAAAGGAGGACAGTTAAGTTCTGGCACAGGTTGCACAAAAAGATGGCAAAACACCTAACCTTGCAGATTTTTAAAAGTTGACAGAACATGGCCCTGAGAAACCTTCTCTCCCTTTGAAGCAGCCCCTCTTTTAAGCAGGGGCCAGATGAGCTACAAATGCCAGGTTCAATCTGAACTAGTCCATGACTCAGAGAGGACCAATTATATTTTTTGCATTGATATAGACAATCACTTTCTGAAATCCCCATCTCCTCCCTCAACCCCAATCTCATCCTCTGAATGAAAACTTTTTCTTTCGCTCCTACAAACCAGGAGAGAAAAAAAGTATTGTTGAAAACAGAGTCTGCCCTTTGTTCTTTCATGGCAGGAATTTTGATTTCCTTTGAGTATCATCATCATCATCTATGACAGGCCATGCTCTTGCATTGGGGAAGAGGCAGAGATGTGCCAGGAGCTGCTGTGGATGATGGGCACCACTCCTGCACTGACCCACTGGCACCTCAGAAAGTGAGGAAACCTCACTCCCTTCCTTTCTGCCACAAAGCCAGGGCATGGATGTGCTCTGGGGACAAAGAGCAGCTTTGCCAGCTTAGCTCTCACATCTCCAGAAAACAGGGCAACAATACTGCCAAGGAATTCCCCTGACACACAAAGTGTCTCTTCCTGGCAGAGCCACAGTGGGGGGAGTCTGGAGAGAGCACAGCTAAGGGTGACACAACTGTCCTGCAGTGACAACCAGTGCTGTCAATGAATTCACCAGGTTGGGAAGGACCTCAAACTGCAAACCAGCCACTGGCTGCAGTGGAGCTGGGCTTTTACACTGAGTTTCTAAGAGCAATATATCCTTTGAGTAGCTAAGTGGTAGCAGTATTTATATAAATCTTGTTTGCACCTGATCTTACCTGCCAGCCTTTGGGGTACCTCTAAACTCAGGGTAGACACTGTTCTGTCTCCATCCTCCCTGCAGTCAGTGCTGTTACACAGCTGAGATGAATGGTAAAGAAAAACAAATTGTGCCAGTATTAAATAATTTCAAATTTGTCTGGCTGGCTTATGTGGATGCTGGTGTGAATGAGCAAGTCATGAGCTGCTCCTCACCAAACAAAAATAAGGTTCATTCAGCATCAGTCTGAGTTCTGAACCATGGTACATCACCATCCAGAAGCAAGCCAATTGGTATCACTTTGCTTATTCCTCCTTCATACTAATAAAGTCCATCTACACAAAGTCCTCAGAGAAGTTTCTAAAAGGGAAAAAAAAAATCAAGCTAAATCAACTCTCAGATTCCCATGTAAACTGAACTTAAGAGTGGAAAATTTTTTTACCTATTCTTTGGGTGGTACAAAAATCTAAAATTCCTATAGCCCTGCTTCCCTGGGCCAAGTCAAACAAGGATATTGTCCTTTTAATGTCTTAAAGGCTCTGTTTTCTTGTAATGCCAAATGCAATATTTTTTTGAAAACACTACACCAGAAGTTTCCCAGCTGAGAAAACAGGCTGGTGAAAAATGGCTTCAGCAAACGAAATAAACCATGCAAAAGCTGTTCAGGGTGTGTGTATGAAATGAACATCTGGATTTGGCTTGTTAAACTGCCTCGTTTTTGTACCTCTCCTCCCCACTTTTCTTTTTCTCACAGCTGTTCGAAGGAGTCCTAAGGGCAAAGAGACAGGTCAAGGGACTGGGTTACACCTTTTTTTCTTTTTCTTTTTTTTCCAAACCTCTTTGCACCTACGCAAGGAATCCAGGCCACATGTGTGTTTAATAAGTAGGCACAAACACAAGAGAGAAAAAAAAATATCTCCATTCCTGTTGGTTCTTAGGAGAGACACTGAAGGAAAAATAAACTCCGGATTTCAAATTTTCTCTCTCAAAAAAAGAAACCTTATGGTTCCAATAAAATATTTCTTTAAAAACCCAATGCATTATTATTTTTTTAAAAAATCAGGGGTTTTGCAGAGTATATCTTTTTCTCTGTTCCTTTAGAGAGGAATAACAAAGGGTTAATCCCTTACCTGCTGGAGCAAGAGGAAATTATGAAATGCCAGTGGCCTGGGTTCACTGAACTGAGTCTTCCTATAGCACAAAATAGATGCACACATTTACATTGAATGGGTTCTTCATTTCAGGCTGCAACTTCCTCAGCTTGAGCAGTCCAGAAATGAAACAGAGAACAAAAGGAACTGAGACATTATCTGGAGATGATATTTTCTGAGAAGCAGAAGATTCAGCTTTTCCTGCTGACAGGATGTCCCTGGCACAGCCACAGTGATGGCCAAGAGCATCTTCCAGCTGGGCCAGGGCTGCAGGAGCTCCCTCACCCGGCTCTCAGACCAGGTCTAAGGGCTCAGTTAGGTCTGACCCCAGTCCTGGGTCAAATGTCTGCACTCCACTCCAGCCATCAACCAGGGCTGCCAAGATACCTCCAGTGCACTGACAATTAACTGCTTGTAAACACCCCATTCCCTCTGAAACAGCCCCAGGGCACCTCGAGGAGGCAGCCAGGGAGGGTGGGACCTGAGCAGGCACTGACAGTGACTGTGAGCAAACCCACCCTCTGGATTTAAAGCTCTATTTTCTGCACAACTATTAACAATTTCTGTGCTCCCTGTGCACATCCACACTTGATGCACAGATTTCAGCTCAGACAGAAGTATTGCACTTGTGGGTAGAGCTACACAAATGCCCACCTGCTGCTGGCCAGAGGTTTGGCACACACAGCTGGAAGAGTTTGTGACCCTTGTAGCAAACCTGAACCGTGACTATTTACTTCACTTCCCTTTACTGTTGCTCTTCTGAGTTCTCCTTGGGGTTGGTCACAATACTGCAGTCCAGTAAGTACAAAAATAAATCCCCAGATCCTTGGGTTTATTTGGGGAATCTTACTTTGGATAGAAAATTGATGTTGAAAATTAAATACCTGAGCAAAAGCCCTTTGCGAAACACAAGTGCTGGTGCCAGGAAAGAAAGAGTCTTGCTTAACATCAGTGCCATAACTCGGACAAGGCAGAGATATTTTCTGCAAAAAGCCTTTGCACAGGAGCCTCCATGGAAAAGCCAGTGCTTGGCAATAGGGGCTGCATGTACAGACTGAACAGCCAGCGACAGCACTGAGCCTTGGGAAGTCCTGCCAGAGAGGAGAAGGCAGTGCTGTTTGCTGGTGTAATGACCAGTGACCCTGGATTTGAGGAACATAAATACTACCAAAGGAAAAAAAAAAGTGAACAACAAACAAATGGTACATAGAAAAAATATCCCACTGCAATCCCAGCACTGCCAGTCCTAGGTCTGCATGGGATCCATGACAAGAAGACAAATCTAAATCTGAACTAGAACCCTGCCTAGAACTTCTTACAAGGGTATACAGTGACAGGACAAGGGGAATGGCTCAAACTGACAGAGGGCAGGTTTAGGTGAGATATTAGAAAGACATTCTCTGCTGTGAGGGTGGGCAGGCCCTGGCACAGGGTGCCCAGAGAAGCTGTGGCTGCCCCATCCCTGGAAGTGTCCAAGGCCAGGCTGGACAGGGCTTGGAGCATCCTGGGCTAGTGGAAGGTGTCCCTGCCCATGGCAGATGGTTTCTAAGGTCTCTTCCAACCCAAACCATTCTGGGATTCCATGATGATTCCATAATTCTCGCATTAAGCT